TAATGAGAGAAACCACAGCTTGATTTACCCATTTTTAGATTTTTCTGTGAGCACATTCTCTGTTGGTGTGAATTCTCTCAAAAATTTGAATGAAGTGTCTGATTTTCTTACATTCTTATACAATTTAGATTGTTGATCATATGTTTATTTACTTTATTTCTTGCTAATTCCACTCTTTTCCACTCTATTTTGTGTTTTAAAACATGACCACCATGAAATTTAGCAGACGGATATAACATGTTTAATAATATAAATGCTCACATTGTTTGCTAGTCATAGACTAACAGGAAGTGTTCTGCTTGTAATAAAAGACTGGATAAAAAAGAATGGTGGAAAACATTGATTTTATAATCTGACTTGGTTCAGCATCTTCACGAGTGGTTCAGGGGTCTATAAAAGGTTAATGGTCGTTATTTTTTGAATAGATCTTATAGATCACGATTCCTCAAGTACAATTGTCTTCAAACATGTAACTATGGCAACATCGTAAAATACAATTACAAGGCAATTGAAGTAACAATTCATGGTTAGTAATACATTGATTCATCCTTAAATGTCAATGGTACCATGATAATCTAAAGAAAATTATTTGTAATAGTTAACATTTTTGATGTTTGGTCTCAGTGTTTTTAGGTAGTAAGCTAGCACCCAAAAATGTATTAGTTCGTGAACAAATTGAAATTACTTGTTTCTTATGTATTTTTATATGATACTTCAGAAAATGTTTGTCTGATGCGCCGTATCCGGGGCGAAAGTTGTCAAATTGGCGTTTTCGACCCTAAAATGGAAAATTACAAGGGGTACTTAATCATCATTGAATAAATCATTCAGTTGGTCTTCAATCATCATAATAATTTTATGGGGAGTTGATTGGATCATGCTGAGGTAGTATATTAAGTTTCAATCACCTGTCACTCATGGTTGCCATGGAAACCACAATTTTCATTGAAAAATCCTTAATTTTGGCAAAATCTATACAGGTACATAATATAGAATGTGGATTATTTTTCAAATCAACAGATATAAGAATATCTTAGCACACCCAAAATGGCCAGGGAAGTTCAAGCATTTGTTGAAGCATGAAGGATATTGCAATTTATATAATTGGTAAGTGTCAAAGACCATACTACTACATAAGTGATCAAAAGTGGGCGTCGCCCCCATAATTGTAAATGATGACCATTCTCTGAAAAGACAGAGTTTAACTTGACTTTTGAGATACATTTATATTGAAGTTCTTTGAATATACCTAATATCATGCATTTCTGGTAAATAATGTACATATAAGTGTAAAAGTTGTTGCATGGGGAGTGGGGGGGGGGGTGGTAGTAACAGAATTTGGAGGGGCAGAGCTAATCAGCCTTTGTATAATTCTCATTTATATAGTTCTTGATTTTCAAATGTTAAATCTTCTGGGTCTTCTTCATTTTCATTTCAATATATAGGTACTACATTTTACATGATTGGTGTCAAAGACCATACCATTACATAAGTGATCAAAAGTAGGCATCACCACCTTCATAATAGTAGATGATTACCATTCTCTATAAATACAGGGTTCAAGTAGAATTTTCGAGATAGAGATATATTTATCATTTATATTTCTTTGATTATACTTAATATCAACCATTTCAGGTAAATAAAGTACATCTCACTGGTGTCAGTTGAGAAGATATACCAAATATTCCATTCTATTGAGGTGAATACATGTTTATCTTTCCCTCAGTATATTTACCGCAGCCCGAAGGGAAAGGGAAATATACCTGAGGGAAAGATGAACATGTATTCACCGAAAATAGAATGGAATATTTTTGATTTATTATTTCATTTGAATGTTCTACAAATTAAGTGTATTTCTTTTAACCATTTAATACATAAATACAGTATGAATGTGCTCATCTGAATATAACCACTCTAACTACAGTCACTATTAGTTCGATGTAAATGCAAGATATTGCCATCGTTCACCCTCAAAAGTCACACGTGCAAGTTGACTTGTGACATCACTGGTTTATAAACATCAAGAACATTGGCAACGGATACACCATTGCTATGAGTAACCATGCTCATACTACAAATATAAGCTGTGACGTCATAACAACGAAGTTTTGTTGCCATGCGTATCCAAGTATTTTATACTCCGTGGTATATACAGTTGAAAACGAGGCTGCGGCTGGAAACTGCAGGAAACAATGAAATACACCTTAATATTTTTAATCTTGTGATCGGTTCTTATCCAATGAGAAAGCGAGAAACATTTCAATGATATAATAAATTTATAGTTTTCATTGACTTAAACTACTTTATAGTTGATGTAATACATTGATATTTGAACTAAACCAGGCTTATATGGCATATACCATTGGTCGATACTGACCAGTGACACCTGAGTTTTATAGTTATTGCATGAGAGGCAGGTTGATAGAGAGGGGGGGAGGGGGCTAGTAATAGAAACTGGAAGGGGGCAGCGCTAATCAGCTTCAAGTATAAATCTCATAATACTTCGTTCTGGATTTCCTAAGGAACATGTACATCTTCTAGGTCTTCTTCATATTCATCTCAATATATAGGATAATACAATAAACATGATAGGTAAGTGTCCAAGACCAAACAATTACATACGTGATCAAAAGTGGGAGTCGCCCCAACAACAGTATATGGTTCATTCTCTACAGAGGTCAACTTGAGTTTTAAGATCATCCAATGATCTCCCCAGGATTTCTTCTCGGGTGGGTACAAAATTTTCATTTTCACAATTCAGACCAAAATTGGCCAAAATATGCCAATTTTTCATGAACTTTCTCACTTTCAAGTGGGTGCATATTGATTTTCAGGTGGGTGCAAACCTATTTTCAAAATCTCAGGTGGGTGCTGCGCCCACTTGCTTTAATGCTTGGAAGATCACTGTCATCTATATGTCATCTATACTTCTATTATTTAAGAAATATAGATTGAAGAGCAGGTGTTATATTGACAAATACACTCCACATGGCTAGGCAATGGAGTGAGGGGTTCGAAAGCTTTTGTACCTAGCCCTAAGGGATCATTGTCAATATCACGCCTGCTCTGAGGTATTATTACAATTCAAACATGAAAACTCCCCAAAATTTTTTGAATATTCAACTTATGGTCTGCCATTACTACAGCCCTCTTGATGTCACACATTACTCGTATTCCACCTTGTCAAGAGCTTACTACAAAGCACTTATCATGCATATGGCCCATATTGTAAACCCTGACATTCCAGCAGAAGATGGACATGGATGGAAACTGAATGACTCCACCATTGGGTATTGACTGGTATTCTCATACAAATGATTGTTGATATAGCATCAGATGATGAATCAGAAAGACTCCAGAAGATGTATCTTATGAAATCCAGAACTGTGAAGATGAAATTGATATTTAATGCTGACTTGTTCCCCCACCCCTCCGAATTCTGTTACTACCCCCCTCCCATACAATAACTATATACAGTATATTGAGATAACTAAGAAGACCCAGAAAATACTCTATGAAGAAGTCCAAAAGAAAGAATTTATACTTAAGGCTGATTAACTCTGCCCCCTCCCAATACTGTTACTAACCCCACCCCTCCTCATGCAATAACCATTGCACTGAGTTGTACATTATTTACCCAAAAATATAAAGTTATGATCAAAGAAGTCCAGTGTAAATGTATCTCAAGTCAAGTTTAACTCTGTATAGAGAATAGCAATCATCTACTCTAGTATGGGGGCGACGCCCACTTTTGATTACTTGTGTAATTGTATGTTCTTTGACACTGACCAATCATGTAAGTTGTAATATCCCATATATTGAGATGAATATGAAGAAGATCCAGAAGATGTACCCCATGAAATCCAGATATATGTAGATGGGATTTATACTTAAGGCTGATTAGCTCTGCCTCCTCCCAATTCTTTTACTAGCCCCCCTCTGTACCCCCCCCCCCCCATGCAATAACTATGACACTTAGATGTACATTATTTACCAGAAATGCTTTATATAAAATATAATCAAATAAGACCAGTGTAAATGTATCTCAAAGGTCATGTTAAACTCTGTTTTTATCAAGTATAGCAATCATCTACTATTATGGGGGCGACGCCCACTTTTGATCACTCATGTAATTGTATGTTCTTTGACACTGACCAATCATGTAAATTGCAATATCCTTTATATTTAAACAAATGTTTGAACTGTATTGGTTATTTTGAGTGTGCTAAAATGTGCTGATATGTATTGATTCAAAAAATAATCCATATTCTACATGATGTACATGTTCAGGTTCTGCAAAATTAAGGATATTTTGAACGAAAATTGTGGTTTCCATGACAACCATGAGTGACAGAGCATTGAAATTTTACATACTACCTCAGCATGATCCAATCAACTCCCCATAAAATTATTATGATGATTGAAGACTAACAGAATGATTTATTCAATGATGATAAAGTACCCCCTGTAATTTTCCATTTTGGGGTCGAAAACCCCATTTTGACAATTTTCGCCCCGGATATGGCGCGTCAGACAAACATGTTCTGAAGCATCACATAAAAATACATAAGATACAAGTAATTTCAATTTGTTCACGAACTAATACATTTTTGGGTGCTAGCTTACTACCTATTTGTGATGGTGGCTGCAATTTGTAACAATGGTTACACTTTTGTTACTATTTTCAATAACTCCTTCGTTTATCATGTTAAATGCCTTATTAATTGATAATTAAAACTGTTGTCCAGCTATTAAAACCTGTATGAGTATCTTTTGTAACAAATAATCAATATTAAAAATGCTGATGTTGTCCAAATACATTATATTAAGAAAATTAATCAGCTAAAGGGATACAAAAAATTCCTAATCACTAACCCACTCTCGATTTTGCTGAGTTGGAAATATATTCTAAAATCCTGGCCCGATTAACTCTCCAGCTATATTTTATAACAAAAACGAACTGTGATAAAATGATTTAATGTCGTATTCTCTACTTTCAGGTGCCGTGGAAGCATGTCTTTTGTTTGGTTTGAAGAAACGTGTATTGGGATTATTCAAAAATACGACATCAACTGCCCTGCTACAAAAAGTTGCCAAGAATTTCGAGCCAGCAGCGGATATTGCCAAAATTGTGACAGCTCAGGAAATTAAGATGGATGAATCAAAGTAAGTTTGGATGTCTATAAATATATAAGGAGACGTGCCAAGAGGAGAGAAAATCCCAATATTCATAGTTATTAGCTTTACAAATAAAATCACCACTAAAAATATACACACTTCCTGCATTGCATTTATATGATTTGATTGATATAATACAATACAATCCCTTAAAGAAGATTATGAGAGACCTTAGACTGAGAAAGAAGGTCATTTCTAGCAATTTCTAAAAATTTGTAACGCTTTAAGTTTTACTTGTCATGAAAATATTGGGGCCTGAATTAGTGGCTTTCAATTTTAAAAACTATTCACAAATATAACCAGATTGAAATGTATTTCATTAGATTATACTATATCTGATAAATACATATAAATATATTTTTTCATATTGACTTATCCTGTTCTGTTTTGTTGTTTACAGAAAGTCAGTTGACAATAACAAGAACCACAGCAAGAGGCCTACCTTAGCTTACAGTTCCAAATACCTCTGGATACGGGTGGCCTTGTGTCAGAAAGTACTGGACGTTATATTAGATCATTTAGTTGAAAATGCAAAGTAAGTGAACAAGAAGTTTTTCACCTCAGGTTGCCATGGGAAAGGACACCTTGAAATGGTCATTTAGCAAAACACAATGCATTATTTCACAAATACATAACTCGTTCAATTTTCCTCAGGTTTGTATTACTGTTATAAAATTATCAAAAAAAAACAAAAGGTAAATATTTTCTTATATTTTTATAGTAAAAAGTTAGTCCTTTAAACAATGTAAAGGTTTTTCCTATGCTTTCTATGTTGCTAGCACTTTTGTAAACTTAGTATAAATGTGTGGATTTTTAAATTTGCAATCCATGACCTTTTCTTCATTGTTTTATTTCAGTAAATACTATGAGCCTCATTCACTCGTAGCAGACCCCTGTGATGGACAGGTCTTGGCTTCCCTGCTTGGTAAGTTAAAAAGATATCAGAAAAGTATTGCACAATGAGTTATTGTATAAAAGTACAGTATACGCTCTGAATTTTTCATACAATTAGAATATACAGTAAAGCCTGTATATCAGGACACCTCTCTATTTTGAACCTCTCTCATTGTGTCAGTTCTAATTTTATTTCTTAATCTGCCATGTCAAAAACCTTGAAATGTGAAGACCTGCCAATCTAAACATTTTTTGACCAGTCCCATTTGGATAATAGTCTGAGGTTATACTTTATAAGTAAATCATATTAATCTGTTTTCAGTTGGGCCTTGTGCGCTTGACTTCACAAAAATGAAGACAGGGGATCACTATTGGACTGACCCCCCTGCAGATGAGCTTGTACAGAGACACCGGATACATAGCAGTGGCAATCACCATATAAGGGGTCCCGATTCTCCGAAACGTCCAGGGCTCCAGGTAATACATAATTAGCCTTCATTCAAAATCTTCAATTTTAAATTAGAGGAATGATATTTAATAGTATTTTATTTTCACAGGTTGAGTGTGAGTGCTTGAGTGCCGATTCTCTCATTTATTTTGTCACTAACTGTCACTGTTATAAAGGAAAAAAGAGTGAAAGATGAAAGTGGTTTAAACTATGTGGTGACATATTGTTAAATTCTCAAGTTTTTTGTGAGTAGTGTTTGGTTGTTGGTAATTGGTGTTTGTGACAAATGGCACGTGGTGACATTTTGCATGTTAATGCAATGCCTTGTTACTTTATAACCATTTTTAACTTTGTTCTTTCCAGGTGCGACGGCACACAAGCTCTAGCAGTGAAGAAGGAATGAGAATGACGCCACAGTCAGCCAAAGATTACGTGGAATCTTTACATCAAAACAATAGATCCACACTCTTGTATGGGAAGAATAATGTTTTAGTGCAGCCGGTAAACTTTTTTTTATTTTATTTATTTGTACTATATGCTACAGTCATTACAGTTACCTTTCTTAAATGAAAATTACAATGTTAATATTTTATAGTTCAGTTTTTACACTTGATCTTTATGTAAGAATTGATAAAATTGTACCCAGTGCCTTTGTGGAACAAAATTATGAAAATGTGTTTTTTCAATACAAAGAAATCATTTTCAATAGAACTACCCTTGTTAAGTTGACAATTGTACAATACAAAACATGTAATACCTCCCAGGTTTGAAATGTTAACATTGTTGGTTGGAGGTAAATATATGTAAGATATCATAATTTCAGCATCAAATGTAATAGGTAAAATTCATATAATAGTACTATTGAGTAACAGTAACTCAATATTGATGATTGTAGTAGAATTTCAAAATAACTGGAAATATCAAAAATGATTTTGTAACATCATCACTTTCATTCTGAAATTCTTCATGGTGATTATTATTCTCGTTCTTCAGAAAGAGGGGATTCAGGCCTTAGCGGGGTACCTGTCCCTACATCAGGGTAATGAGGGTTTAACAGTAAAATGGACACCTAATCAACTTATGAATGGCTGTAGTAAGACTGAACATACAGAGGAACAAGATAGGAGGTATTAATTTCTATGGTTTTGTGGGTTTTTAATAAACAAGAATATTAATATACTTGAATTATGCCATTATGCCAGGATTAGATTATTGATGTACGCACAAAATTGTCCTAGAAATATGAGGAACTCACTTTTGTTTTGTACAAAGAGTATGTATGTATGTGTATACGTTGTTGCGCTTGCTAACGATTGTTTTCGTTTAAAATAATTATAGACACTATTGAATCATTACGTTCATTAAGCTATTTGCAATTATGTTTTTATCTAAAGTTATATGTTGTAAACTAGAGATTATATGTTGTATGACAGTATGTAATGTATAAGCAGCATGTACATATAAAAGGGTCTTTAAAATTGGAATATGGTCACACCTATATAATTGTGTTCCACTTGGGAGGTGGTCCACTTACAGAGGTTTATTTAATATAAAGTATATGAGTCACAGACTTTAAAAAGTGTTCCACTTAATGGAGATGTTCAAGTTTTTAATGTCCGTCTTACAAGAATATTTACATAAAATTTATTTTTACTGTTAGATGAAGAAAAGACATTTGAAGATAAAGTAAAGTTGTATGAACGTAGAACTAAAAATACTAACTCTTACTTTTAGATGTTTTTGCCAATGTTTTATTTTTATCCTTATTTTTATTTTTTTGTTTCTCTTTTTTAAGATTTTGTCTTTCTCCAAATGAAATGGCCCCAAGGTCACATCGCTACCTTAAGAAAAAAGGCGTGTGAGTAGGCCCTCTTTTAGTCTAAGACTGAACTAACAATTATTTCATAACTCCGGTGCAGGGCGAATGGTGGATTGGGATTTAATATGGTGTCGATTTTTTAATCAGTAACTGTATGCAATCTCTCGATCTTTTAGCCATATTTAAACCAATTTATAATGATTCTGCACGCTTGACCACTTAATAGGACTATAAAAATGATAGAACTGCACATTTATTTAACTTAATACTATGATTTAGTCTTATTTTAACAGCTTCAGTAGTAATTTGAGTCTAATACCAACCCTAACCACAACTCATAATTGAGTTAACATAACTGGTCATTTTAGTGAAATATTCTAAATAGTGCATGCGGTAATGGGTAGTGTTGTCTAACCTGTGTTTCTACAATATGCTTTATCTTAAATCAGACTAATAAATCAAAATGTATATACAAAGCTTACATAGATTTAGGACTAATCAACCTAACTATACAATACTTGACAATGCACATATAATGTCAATATAAACAAGTTTATCACATTCAAGCCTTTGTACACTATGGTGAGCTTGTTGACGGCAGTTCACAACAAGGATTTGTCACTTCCTGTTATATTAAATAACATGTCATATTTCTCTATTGGTTCATGTATTCTATATTAGAATTAGCGTTTCTTTTGGAGTTACAAATATTAAAATGTTAAGAGAAATATTACATGTTATCAGGAAGAACATATCAGTGATGTACAAAGAATTATTATCCAATGTAGAATGTAGCGTGTTGAAGTAAATTTGCTCACTTTTGACTTAGTTTATTCTGTAAAGTGCATTATATTATATGTTTGTTGTAAATTGTAAAAGAACAGTCTTGTGTATCATGTAGATACCTCTTGTTGTGTAAGCAGGGGCCTCATTAGCAGCAGCCCCTAAAGAATTGAGTAGTTTCCATGTTAAGATTATAATTTATAATTTGAAAGATTTTGCCCCTTTAAACTCACATGGTCTATTGCAATCTCCCAATTGTTTTCATTCAGTTTGTGTGTTGTATGAAATTCTTGTGAAACCCTTGGGTTTGCATTAAGCTCTTAATGAGGACATTGTCCTGATATGTTTTGTCATTGATTTCTTAATGTTTCAGTTTATACTGGGACTATGCTGTCACTGTATATATGGATGAGATTGTGTACCTGCATTGTCACCAACAACGTGAGTAAATTACAGAAATCTATTAAGCTCAGTCATTCAAAATATTCAGTATCTGATTGTATCTAAGAATCCAATATCAAGAGATTGCATTTTTGTCATGTAATTTACATCCAGCATGGTGTTATTGATAATGCCTAGAGCTTTTGTTTCATTTTATATAATAGATTTTGAGATATATATTCGTGATGAATAGCAATAGGTTTTGTTATCCATATCTTGTTTTCTTTCATTTTTAACAGCCCTGATTCAACATAATTGTCATAGATTAGCCCAAATTCCAGTTTTAGTTTCAGTCATGTGATTGGATGCCTCATATTCACTATCCAAAAAGATCCAATGTGTTTTTGAAATTGTTTCCATGGTAACATTCAATTTTAGCTGACACGGGAGGAACAATAGTTCTCGTTGGTCAAGATGGCGTACAGAGACCTCCAATACATTTCCCAAAGGGTGGCCACCTATTGGCATTCCTCTCATGCTTAGAGACTGGTCTTCTTCCACATGGACAACTTGACCCACCGCTATGGGCTCAAAGAGGTAAAGGTGAGCTCTATTCTTATTGGTTATCATAATGGTTGTGCTTTTCCTTACGTTCTCTCCTGTGAATATCAAAAACAGATTCATTTTTATTTTACTCGCTTATTGTAAATAATTCCAATTTGTAAAAGTACATTGAAAAGCAAGTGTCCATTTTTGGTACAACGATGGCTTACACATTAAATTAAATCAGCAAATATATTAGTTAACCGTTCAAGTAAGGTTATTGCTGTACCAAAATGGAACTTCATGTTTGATGTCGTGTTTTTTTCACTTTTCTCTCTATTTCTCATCTTTTCCTTGCTAATGTTGAGGAAAGGCATGACCTGATTGATATTCTTGTGCCTAGAATCTGGACTACTTTCCCAGGACCATCAGACGGACACTTCTCTTTTGGAACTTTTTGGAAAAGGTAAATATGAGCATGTGTCAGTGTTTGATTCTCCTGCTTTTCAGCTCAGGCCTGTAGCCAGGTTTTGCTGAGGGGTTTCACTTTACAAAAGAATCCAGGGAGGTTCATATTTGACAATTTTGGCCCAGAATCATTTGAAAAGTGCTCACAATGGTGACAAATTGCATGATTTTGGAAGAATTATTTTAGTCAAACCCCCTGGCTACCAGGCTTGCTGCATATGTAAAGCTATGTCATTGATAAGTTTGAGAAATAAATGAATAAAAGAGTCCAAGTTTTCAAAAACAGAAATTCCCGTCTCCCGATGTTGTGAAGTGGCTTCATGTGCAACATTACTTTCTAATGACACTGTATATTTTAAATTGAGAATTCTTATATTTCAGGAAAAGTTTTCCCGAAGTTACGCCGGAAGGTTCCCGCTGGTCGTATGAAGCAAGACAGTTTGAATACACAGGCGGGGAGCGTGGAGAGTGTCAACAGTATGAACGGCAGTATTGAAGAAGAAGAAGCCACAGATTACGTCTTCAGAATTATCACACGATTTACACCAGATTTAATGCGTAATATATTTTTTTATTTCTTGAATAACACTTTTCACTGTCTGTTCTTTTTAATTCCTTAAATAATACCGCAGTTTCAATTTCTCATGAACTTGTAGTAATTCTACAAGGTCCAGGTGCAGTATGGCAAGTGATTTTAGACAGTCATATCTTTCACCATGAGTACTTTCTGGCCATAGATACAGTGGGTTTTTTCAAGTGAAGTACCCATGATGATAAAAAATATCAATCGAACAATTCTAAAATCACTTGCCATACTGCACATGGACCTTTGACATTCTTTTCATATGAATAAATACAGAATATCAGACGATTTCGTGTGAATTCATTTTTATCGATGCGGCAATAAGATGATATCACTCGAAGTTTATTAAAAAACAATCAAAAGTTCAAATTCGTTTATCACACGGATATGCACATGATAAACGATATCATGGTCCATGATGATAACAACCGCATATTGGTTTGATAAACAATTTTCTGCCAGAAATTAGTATTTCTTAGCATATTAATTCGAGTTTTTTCTCTTCTAACCCTTTAGCTCCTGAGATGCTTTACCCTAAAGCAAAATCTGGTCTCAACTTTCCTGATATCTCTATCCCATGGCCATTTAAGACGGGATTTGGGAAGCCATCTTTAAACGAGATTCCCATGGCAACAGTTCAATCTCACACCCCTGTATCTCCAGACAGTACAACTACCATAGCTAAAGCAGTTTCTAACAAGTAAGATTTCCATTTATAATCAACAGGCTGAAAAATATTTTAGGACGGTCCCATTTCAAAATATAAAATAGAGTGGAAAAGAGTGGAATCAGCAAGGAATAAAGAAAACAGACACGTTTTGGACACTTTAAATAGTACTGAAGTGTAAAAATGTCAGATACTTTATTCAAGTTTTAGAGAGAAATTAGTGTAAAAGCATGACCAAGCAGAAAGATTATAAGTCTGTATGGGCTGCCAATAGAGATAAATAAAATTCATATTTAGACATATTATTAATTATGTTTTGTATTAGTGTTTTTTACTAATATATGATTTTATTAATCAGTAAAATCAATCTGTCTTTTTGGTCATGTATCTGATAATTCTTAAGTGTTGTTGTACATTTTTATTTATGTATAGCATAGCATCTAAATAATTTAATATCGGAGCTTTTATTTTATAGCTTTTAATATGTAGTCTAATTTAGCTCTTAGCCTTCAATGCTAGCTTTTCACAAGTTTGATTTCAGTTTTTACCAGTCATCTGAAAAACAGAAAGTCCTGGAAAATAGAAAGATTTCACAATCTTGAATTCACAATTTTATTTTAGTTCCTTTTACAATCAAAACAATTTCCTGATCACAAATTCCTTGATTTCTAAGATAATATTCTAACATGCTTTAATTGTATTTTATTTCTTATATTGCTAAATGTTGTGACTTACTGAACTAACTTTGAATTACCAGGGTGAGACCCGTATATAAGGTGCCAAAGCAACTCGTCTCCCATAGGTGAGAAAACTAAGTGGTCTTTGGCCTGTTTAAAATGAGTTGAAATAGAATGAAAAGAGTATTAACATATGCTGTGATTTAACAATACAATGATACATAATAACATTAGAGGAATTGTATTGAGTGATTAAGGTGGGCAGAGTATAAATAGAGGATATCCTATGATTTATGAGTGATATGAAATTAAGTGATTTAATTCAAATTTTCCAAACGATCAACGATGTTGACACTTAGCCTCGTTTTGAGTCTGAAGTAGCAAAAATCCATAATTCATAGCATACGGCACCGTATGTCATGGCTTAAACACTGTATGCTATGGTTAAGTGAAAATTTGTCAAAAATATCACATTTTACCACTGATTACAAAAATACCGTTTTTATTTTGACATGTTATCCTATGAATATCATGCTAACTATGGAATAACAGAGCATAACATACAACTGTGATTATATATATGGAGTATTTTCCTATTTACTATTGATTTCTTTGCTTTCACTGCTCTCTCAAATTTTGTTAAAAGGGGATTTTTTAAACATTTTTTCAATTAAGACAGTTAGAAAACACATTTGTAATTGACAACATTTTCCATTTCTCAAATTAGTTATAGTAATAAATAAATAAATAATAAAATAAATAAAAATATGTTAGAGTCCATTGAGATCTTGGACATATTCTAGTAAAACAACAACATTGATGACAACATTGCAAATTATATTCTTGAAGTCAAAATCTTTCATTGACTACGCAATATTTTATGAAATATTCCCCTGATCAGATGACTTACTTGATTAGTATTCTCTCATTCTACTCTGCCTACCTTGATTTCTAAGCTATGTGCATGAAGCCCTGCTGTTTTTTTTGTGTTGCTAACATTTCCACACCCTACACTCATATATAAATGATTGATATTCTATATTTTCTAATGAGGCACGAAAGGCATAACTGCTGTTTTTCATTCAGATTGAATGAAAATTTGAAAACCTTGGAACACAATAATGAGGCATCAATTAAAAGCCAGCTCATATTATTATGCCTCCTGCAGACTCACAATCTTAATTATTCACAAGTTTGTTTGCTTATTTTTAATATCACCTTTTATGTTATAGTAAATCTTAGTTATTTACCAATTTGTTTATTTATTTTTAATATCACCTATTGTATTATGCCTTGTAGTTATCTAGTTACAAATGTGATAATATTTGTTGTATGTGTTACTGTTACCATAGCGACTTCACTGAATGTAGTGCATGCCCCACGTGTCAGTCCAGAAGACGTAGAAAGTTTGTGTAAGTTTTTGTCTTGAAACTGTCATGTTTAACACACAAAATAAAGTGATGAAGAGAGAAACTGATAAAAAATGAAAAAGCATTCGTCAGTCAACACTTTGATTTGTATAAAAGTACCAAAAAATAAACACTTTATATTCAAATTCTAGAGAAATTGAATGAAAGAAGCAATGGCAGAGAGATGTTTTAAACTTGCCTATTTGAGTTTAATGTTCTGGTGCAGAAGTTAGAAACTAAAGTAGCTTATTGAAACTTATGCTCATCATTTATCTATATGATATTAAGTATGATAATAAGTACCTTATTTGCAACAATAGAGGAGTGATATGATAGCAATCTCATAGTTATATATTTACACATGTATACATCTTTTTATGTCACCACTCTCATGGTGACATATTTTTATTGTCTCCAACTTTTTCATGGACAGTGCTCGGTGTCTGGTGTTTGGCATCTGGCATTCAGTGGTTGGCATTTGGAGTTCGGTGTCTGTAAGAAATGGCAGGTGGTGACATTTTGCATGTTTAAATGCCTTGTTTAAAATGTATTTTATCTTATTTTACTTGTAATGGCATCTTACTACAGCATTGAGTTGTTATGATGACATTACTCCATACATCCATTTTCCTGACCATTGTTCTTTTGCATCGCATGTTTAACATAAATGACCTCACATAATTTTTTGTCATACTAAATGGCCTGCTTAAAAGTTATATACACTAAATTCTATATGTTAAACCTATTTCATTAACTGCTACACCTGGACCACATGCCACTTCGTTAATGAAATAGAAAGTGTGATTTTGCATGAATGACTCAATACACCCACAAATACGGTTTGCAGAAAACATTATCAGCCTTACCACCTTTACAAAATGACAACATTATGCAGTTTAGTGCGAAATGTTTATATGTTTTGATAATTGTTTTGGACTGTTTAGACACTGATTTTCTGTTCCATATTGTGAATTCTAAACTGTACTGGTGTCCATTTTACATTTCTAATTGAGGCATCTCTTGAAGTTCATTTAAGACATCTTTAATAGCAACATCTTATTTTTCAGGACATCTATACGTCAACTGTGCGATGAGATGAAGCGGCAGATCATATCAAGAGCTTTTTATGGATGTAAGCAAAACTTCTTTTTTATTGTTCCTTTATTGAAATAACATAATACACATTTGTACTTTACATTACATTGACAGGACATTTTTATCCCATCGAACGAAGTGAGGAGGGATATAGGGAACGCCTCCGTCCGTACATACGTCCGTCCGTACGTCCGTCTGTCCAGGCGATAACTCAAATACCGTTTGCCCGATTTTGTTCATATTTTATACACAGGTGCCCTATGAAGGTAGAAGTTCTGCTCAAAAGCCGATTTTCAAAATGGCCGCTCAATTCAAAATGGCGGCCATTTTAGTGCCGATTTTACAGTTATTTAGGTGCAATATGTAAAACTGTAATAGCAATATGTTTTAAATGTAAAAAAATTATGAAGGACATTAATAAAGCTACAAATGTAGACATTAACGAAGCACATGGCAGCCATCTTGAAAAATGGCGGCCTTTACTCGTTATTTCACGATTTTTGCTATAACTCAAAAAGTAGTGGAGCGATTTTGTTCATATTTGGTATGTGAATACTATAAGCATTGCACACTGTCTAAAGGCACTTTTGGTAGAAGGCGGCCATTTTGAAAAATGGCCGCCATTTTAACGTATTTTACTATAACTCGAAAAGTAGTGGAGCGATTTTGTTCATATTTGGTATGTGAATACTATAAGCATGGCACACCGTCCTATGACACTTTTGGTAGAATGCGGCCATTTTGAAAAAAATTTTGAAAAATGGCCGCCATTTTAACGTATTTTACTATTACTCGAAAAGTAGTGAAGTGATTTTGTTCATATTTCATATGTGAATACTATGGCACACTGTCTAATGACACTTTGGGTAGTAGGTGGCCATTTTGAAAAATGGCCACCATTTTTACGTTTTTTACTATAACTTGAAAAGTAGTGAAGCGATTTTGTTCATATTTGATATGTGAATACTCATGAGCCTTGCACACTGTCTCATGACACTTCAGATAGTAGGGGCCATTTTATAAAAATGGCTGTCATTTTTACATTTTTTACTATAACTCGAAAAGAAGTGGAGCGATTTTGTTCATATTTGATATGTGAATACTCATGAGCCTTGCACACTGTCTCATGACACTTCAGATAGTAGGGGCCATTTTATAAAAATGGCTGTCATTTTTACATTTTTTACTATAACTCGAAAAGTAGTGGAGCGATTTTGTTCATATTTGATATGTGAACAATTTAAGCATGGCACATTGTCTAATAAAACTTTGGGGAGTAGTCAGCCATTTTGAAAAATGGCCACCATTTTTATGTGTGTTATTTTACAAGTACATGTATGCGATTTTTCAAAGATTTTATAGGTGGTTACTTAAAAGCATATTATTTCTTCTGATGACAACTTGGCTAGTGAGCAACCATTTTGAAAATGGTGGCCTTTCTGGTGTATTGTTTTATGATGTTTGCTATATATTTCGTTTGTAAAATTGCCAGCCATTTCTGTTCGATGGGATTTGCTACGCTTTGGCGTTGCCGTTGTTCTGGTTGGTTCTGTAATATACATATTAATATAATTCAAAATGTCTCTTTAATTTGTTAATGATAATTAGTTTACTAGTACTAAAGTACTTAAGTATTGGCGTGTTGCTATTTCAAATGATGTCCATTAATTTCAAAACTACTTTAAATTCCATAAAACCTCAAAGGTTGAATGCCTCTGACAATAAGTGGAACATCTCTATCAGCTTAGAACACTTTCCAACTCTGATTACCAATAACATAAAATAAAAATATAATATGAAAAATAAGTTTTAACACTATTTTAAGATACCAAAAGTGTTCCACCTACACAAGTTCTACTGTAGTATTTGTAGACCATTAAAGTTGTATAAATAATCAATTTGTATTATATTGACTTTGTTTGAACTCACAATTATCCCCACCTGTTTAACATTGACACTGGAAAGAAGTCAAGCTTAATGTAGACATTAAGAAAACAGATTTTCTGAACTACCTTGTCTGGGATGTGTTAATATTGAGCTAATCTAACACATTGAACTACATTATATTATCACGGCGCTTCTGCAAATATTGTTTGTCACATGATTGATTTGATCATAACTTGAAATTTAGCTTTTTAAATATTCACACCTGATTGCAAGGGCTTGTTCACTATTAGGTTAGGGTCATTTATCAAGTTCTACTGCTTTATATATTTATGTCTTTATTTCATAAGGTTCGCCCATTGTACTTTAGACAATATTCAGTGCTCATTGATCAAGTTCTACCCCTTTATATAATATACTGTCACATAATAGAGCCAACATTTGATGTTTTATGTATTATTAAAAGTGTATATTTATGTATTCATTTTTAGGGCTGGCCCATTGTAGACATCTAAAGACAGTAAGGACACATTTATCAGGTCTCGTCCAACAAACAATTACATCGTCAACAATCCCCCAGGATGCATCAGAGGGATTAACGGAAGATTTATGGCAGCAGTTTAACAAAGATGGGGTGGTAGGAAATCTTCAATTATTCAATAATGTATATTTCCATCATGAACTGAGTAAATGGTACTGATTCTCATAAGATAAAATAGTATTTGACATCTAAGAAATAACAACAAAATTACAATGCTATAGTTGTTTTCTATATATTTCTTTTATGTATCAAATCATAAGTCAGTTTCCACATGTATTGATCATTTTTTGTTAAAGTTATGCCAATATTTACAGGAACTTTATATTAAAAAATGAGTGTATTTTTCAGGTGACAGATGCAGATGAGATCTACAGACTAGTCTACCATGGAGGGTGTTCTCACGGCATACGTTCTCAGGTATAGACTTGTACATGAAATATACATGAAATGCACATGGCCAAAGGTCGATTAATGAATTCATAATGTAGTAGACCTTCCCAATAAAATCTGCCAACTTTGATTCATCAAAGATGCAAGGATATCTAAGGTTAAATGCATGATGTCATAGTTTGTAGTTATGTTCACAAAGAAAAATCTGAATTTTTTCAAAATAAGCAAAAATCAATCCTATTTGTTACACTATTAATATTGTAAATACTATTTCAGCGTGGAAACATAAACGCAAATTATAAAAACAACTTAGCATGGACTTAACAATCATACATTACAGACCAATTCAAAAACTGTGAACAAAGTGGTTGATTATTTGTTCATTTCTGTCTATTATTCTCCCCTCTCACATAGAATTATTAGATACAATGTTTCATTGCTCATTAAGACGGAAGAAACTTTTGTATAATTTCAATAGCCCTTGTTTGGAGTGTGATACCTTCTGTGTTCTTGTAGGTGTGGCCCTACTTACTGGGGCACTATGAGTTTGGCAGTACGCAAGAGGCTCGTGACTCACTAGATCATGAGCTCCACACAGAGTATGAGGTCACAATGTCAGAATGGATGGCTGTGGAAGCAATTGTACGTCAACGAGATAAAGAAATCATGGCGGCAAATCTTGCGAAACTCTCAAGCGAGAGTACATCAGATAGCAGCGGGAAGGCACTCCCAAGCCCATTTATGAGAAAGGACTCTAGTTTAAGTAATGATGTATTCATGGATTCCGTAGATGTGGATGATCACATCGTTCATCACCCATGTGATACACTCATAGAGGAGACGTCATCCGTGACGACAACCCCTAGTGAACAGGCCCCCTCAGAGCGATCAATCAGAACGCTACCCCTCGAGAAAACAGACAGTTTCGATAATCAAATTATAACAACGAACTTAACAACAAAAACTTTGATAAAAGCAGTTGAAAGTCCTGATGAAGGACTGGGGGACTCTAAACCCTGTTCCAAGAGGGACTCTTGTTCGCTTTCATCTAAACATGACACTATCGAGTCTCAACACAGTCTGGAGGTAGACCAGGGGATGCCTCTTCCAGAACAAGAGGAGTTCTATACTGAGAATGACAAAGAGGTACGAAAAATCTAACTTTCAAAATTCAATAAGAACAGGTTATTTTTGGTATATACACAGAAAAAAAACTATGCATTAAATATCTGTATACATAACAATCATGTTTTGTTTTTGGAATGCCTCTGTCCTGAAAAACTTTTTTAGAAATATCTTTAGCTGCTCTTATTAAATCAGAATATGCTTGTAATGATCGTTACAAGTCACATGGTATTATTATTATGTCATCATCAGAAATGATTACCTAGTACATATTTTATATTCTCTAACTTTTTTGTGGACTGTGTTAGGCATTTTGTGGTTGGTGTTCATTGGTTGATGTTCTGTATTCTGTGTCTGTAACAAATAGCAGGTGGTGACATATTGTATATTAATGCCTTGTCTAGATTTCTGAAATAAAGGGTGGATTACTCCAGGCTGGTATCCCACCAGCATAAGATGAGATATTTCGCATATTTTGCACATGTTTTACATGGTATTTTGATCACATGGTGTTACATTAACCAATCAGAATGCTGATTCTATCAGTGATATGATAATATTAATACTATGATTGTTACAGGTGCAAGACATGTTGATGGTGAAAAATATAATAATTACAAACCCCAGTGTGGACTCATCAGACACCGAGCAGCTGATTGGTACAGAGACCTCTGCTAACTTCCTAGAGCACATGGAAGATGCTCTTAGTGTCGGAGATGCTGGTAGGTGCCCTGTTCCTTCCCCTCCCTTATCACCACATCCCTTTACCCCTTCCCCACCCCTATATAGTTATGTAGAGTATAGATATACAGACTTCTTAGAACATCTTGAAGATGCTCTTAGTGTTGGGGATGCTGGTAGGTACCCCTTTACTCAAGGCCAACTCCCTCAATGCCTAACCACTTCACCCCTTCCTTCACCCCTATATTTAGCCATTATGTCCCTATCATTGAATATGTGCCTGAGGTCTGTCATTAATATGGCCCGAGCTTGTGAGAAATTTTGGAGAAATGAAAATTGGTGTCATAAGATTGTCATGGTAAAAAGTTTGGCGGCTATACAGGAATATATAGCTGACCTTCAGCTCCACTGACTTCCATACAAATGCTTCGTTATGTAATACAGTTACGTAGAGTATACACATGCAGGCTTTCTGTCTTCAAAATCTATGACAAATCTTCTTCACTGGCAGGGAATCATAATTCCTTACGCTAACTTACTATCAGTAAATATATCAAAATAATATGATTTTATATGATAAGTTATAGCATATGAAGAGAGAACTATTTTCTAGTTTTGCATATGTACTTTATTTTGCAAAAATTGCGCCGTCGATTAAGAAAATCCCATCACCAAATATTTACATCAATTAAATGTTGTTGAAATCATTAATATCACCAATGTTACTGTACATATTCTTTGGTGTTCTCTGGCACATGAAATACTGCTGCTACCAATACAACTTAATTTTCATCTTGAATTTATTGATATTTAGTAAATAATAAATCCAGTAAGGGACCACATGTGATAGTCAATCTTCATAGGTTACAGGTCCATAGCCAGGATTTGCCAAGGGGGTTCACTTCTTAAAAAAGCCTTGTAGTCCAAAATAGCCAAAATCACTTAAAAAGCTCAGAATGGTGAAAAACTGCATGATTTTGAAAAAAAAATTGGCCGAGGGGGGACCCATCGAAAGAATAGAGCATGCAAAATGGCAGAAGCAATCATTTTAGAAGGTAGGCCAATATTTTGCTTACAATCCAGATTTTTATTATCTGAAAAAGAATTCAAAACTGTTGCCACCAGATATCCTTAAAACCAAAGATGGATAATAAATGAATTAATTCAGAACTATTGGAACTGTTATGAAATAGGCATTTGAATGTTGCAAGCAAAAATTAAGAAATGTGACAATTTTTTAGAAAATTGCTCTCAACTTGACTGTGACTTGCACCCATTTAGATCGGACATATTCTCATGTCAACCTTCTTAAATGAATAATAATGGTTGCTTTCCGAACCAATCAAATTTGGCCATTTGTACCATTCAACACAATCCGCATAACTTGGACATTGAGGACCATCTTTGTTATAATACCCAAATAGATTAGAATGATGACAAGCCTTGTACCACCAACCTCCTCTGTGCTCAAGTGCACAATTTACACGAACGTGTTCATCTAAATCACGATCCTTCGTAGAAAATGGCATTCCATTGTGATTGGCTAAAGAGTCGCCTGCAGTTCCACTGTAGCCACCTATTGTTAGCCGGTAGTTGTCACTTTCATTAGCCACGTCGAAAATGGAATATTCAGCAAATCGTGTTTCGTTTATTGGAGGCCATGTCGTTATTTCAACTCTAAGTGTGTAGTTTCCTTGGTTGAGCAAACCAACCAGATTGTCAAGGCCAATGAAATATTCACCGTCAGGGATCCCAAATCCTCTTTGATAATCTACCCAACCTCTGAAGAAATCCACACTCCCATTAAAGCGCCTAGCTACATAGACACATTCCTCGTGACAGTATACTCTTAAAGGTTGGACTCCAAGTGGTTGGATTGTTCTAACTCCAGTAAAGCCTGTATTTTCACCACAGTCTCGTGGGGGGACGACTGGAAAACAAATAAGACAATACACAAATCATTGTCAGAAAAACAGCCATTATGTGAAACATGTGTCACCTTGTCACCTCAGAAATGATCTTGAAACCCAGAGATAATCTGTCACAAATTTTTTCGCTAAAATTTCTCTTATTTGAACAATTTTCATCCAATTTACACAAAATTGTTTTTAACTCTGGGGAAATGAACCCTGCCATCTAATTTTATTTTACTTAATGAGCATCACCAGTGTTGTACATACACATATAGTAAAATGTCAAAAGCTGGCAAAAAAATGAAAAATTCTCTAGTTTCCACTGATTTTAGAGCCTTGGATTCAAGAGGCTTATGTGCAATGAATACATGTATTTAATACTTTAAAATGCTGATATTAAGTACAAGTTTAAAATGGAATTCCCAATGGAAGACTACATACCATTGACAGATGTGGATTCTATGGGTGTTTTGGCAGTTGTTTCACCTGCTTTTGCTGTAGTTGTCATGGTTTCAGTTGTTATGCTGTCATTATTAACTGAAGTTGTCATGGTTTCAACTGTTGTGTTGCCATTGTTAACTGATATGGTTTCTACAACCTTGGGTTCCGATGTCTCTACAAAAAATATAACAATTTAGTTAAAATTATTGCATTGTTATCATTATGTATGCAAATAATCATTTTTGAACATGCTCTTCCAATTAACTACTTTATTTTGTCTACACTATTCATAATATTTTTTTACCTGACTGTCTTACCTGTATTACAATGTGAATTTTTAAGAATGTCCAAAATATGTTTCATCTGGGATATATCATCTTTCATTTCCTCAAAGTTCGTTGTCACCTTTTCAACATTTGTTTGCACCACTTCGACATTTGATTTCACCTCTTCAACATTTGCTTTCACCTCTTCAACATTTGCTTTCACCTCTTCAACATTTGTTTTCACCTCTCCAACAATTGTTTGCACTCCTTCAAGATTTGTTTTCACCTTTTCAACATTTGTTTGAACCTCTTCAACATTTGTTTGAACCTCTACAACATTTGTTTGAACCTCTTCAATTGTTTTCCATGCTTTGGTCACGTTATTCTTAATTTCTACAATATCATCATGTAGCATAGCATTGTTGTCATCTCTCATGCAGCAATCCTTCTCTTCAATTCTGTCCAATTGTTTAACAAGTTTTGCAACATCAGATTTCTTACATGATAAGTTACCTTTGGGCTTTCTTCTTCTTTTTTTCGCCTCAGTATTGTCAAAATGAACCAAAATGATCAGTAATGATAGCATTAGAATTTTAATCTTCATAATTTTGGTTTAGTTTAAACTTAATTGTATCAAAATCAGATATTGCTGTGTTCAGTGTTATTTTTTAGTTTTGCTGTCTGAACAATTACCACCAGAACATGAATGAGCTAAATTTCAGACTTCATGAAATTGAAGATCATTGGCTTTGACATCATACCAGATTCTGTCCAATCAGCAACCATTTAAAAGATCTGATTGGTAAAAAGTTCATTGACATGTTCTGTACATTGAACTTTCAAAGGTGTGTTCATGTCGATTTATAAACTGTTAGTCACACACTTACCACTGTGCAATTAAAAAAACATCAGAAACTGATTTAAAAAATATGTGATTTTGTATTGGCGCCATTAGCTTTTGTTTTGAAAATAGTATAATATCTATATTTGGTGATTAGGATTGTCTTTATGTTGAAACTAACAATGGAGCATATTTATCATCAAAGTAGCAGCAGAGTTTGATATGATACATACCAAAACATTGAAATATTATTCCAATATGAAATAAAAATTGGAATAATAACATAATGTGTATTATTCCATAGTTAGCATGATATTCATAGGATAACATGTGAAAATAAAAACGGTATTTTTGTAATCAGTGGTAAAATATGATATTTTTGACAAATTTTCACTTAACCATAACATACGATTTTTTAGCCATGACATACAACGTCGTATGCGATGGTTTATGGATTTTTGCTACTTCAGACTCAAAACGAGGCTAAGTGTCAACATCGCCGGATTGTTTGGAAATTCGAATTAAATAACTTAATTTCCGACGATTCTGATGATGACTTTAACTATGGAATAAAAAGAACATCCTATGATTTACTCGTGATATGATTTTAATCCACTCATGGATATTGATATCTACACTCTCTCGCTACGCTCGCTCGTGCAGATATCATATCCATTCGTGGATAAAAATCATATCACTCATAAATCATAGGATATCCTCTATTTATTAAGATTATCTCAACAAATATTATTAAACACATTAAATAAATATATTGAAGGGACCTATAGGTAAAATGTAGAAAGTGGTCAGTAGGATGTCAAAATGCAAAATGCCACTGACAAATTGGTCATTTCATTCCTGGGATCCTTAGTGAGTCATTCATTTCTAGGAAATTAAAAATTATTCCTGAATGGTTTGTTGAAAGTTTGATATCTGCAATGTCTACACATTTTCAAAAGTTAAGATTGTTTAATAGCTGACATTTTATAAATGATCATTGCATTGTCTGATGCTTCATCTATCAATGAAACACTATCATGAAATTATGTGACTTATTGATGAAACAAATTTCTATATGTTCCCTACACTTTTTTATAATGCATGCTCTGATTGGCTGATTAATCCAAGTGAAAGGGACAAGGAAAATACATTTGATTTTCATGTGTTTTTCAGGCAGTCACATATCTGCATCACATGACAGTATTATATCTCCACATACACCTGGTTCTCCAGCATCACATGCTTCTAATGGTGGTGTCTATTCGGTAAGTATGATTTCACCTTTTAGATATCAGATGATTTTTTCTAATAACTTGGCCTCTAGGAAGACCAGTTTTGTACTGATACAGCTACCCAGAATAATCATAGTTTTTAATTATTATTTTTGTATGTTGAATATTTTCTAAGAAATTTCTTTCTATATTTAAGGCTGAATTTCTGGAAGACGTTGGGCTAAACCTCCATAGGATCGATAAAGATGTTCAGCGGTGTGACCGGAACTACTTTTATTTCACCCCAGAAAATCTTGATAAACTCAGGAATATTATGTGCACGTAAGTTCATTGCATTGTTAAATATCCATATATAACTTTCAATTTGTTAGAAATTATCTAAGGCGAACAGTATGGCCAGTAAGTGACATGAAAAGGGTTGCTTTAGGTGCGAATCCACGGGACAGCTTAAAATGGAGCCAAAAGGTGATATGTTCAAATATAGGGGAACTATTTTCTTTCAAAGAACCATGAATATTATGTTTCTTTTCAGATATGTGTGGAAACACCTAGATATAGGATATGTGCAGGGAATGTGTGACCTTGTAGCCCCTCTACTAGTCTTACTGGATGATGGTAGGTACTCTTTCCATTAACCCTCTCCCCACTATCATCAACATGTGAAAATACAAAATACAATGATTTTACTTAAAGAAGAAATGGAGAAATATCAGGCCTAGAGTTAGATTTTGCGAAGTGGTGTTCACTTTTCAAAAAAAATCCAGGGAGGGGAACAGGGGGCTCACATTTGACAATTTTGCTCCAAAATCTCTTGAAAAGTGCTCAGGATGGTGAAAACTGCATGATTTTGAAGGATTTTTTGGCCAGGACTGCCCCTACCCCTTGGCTACAAGTACAAGTATAAAGCCATTCAACAGTCACTAGAATGAAGCCATTCTAGAATTCACACCTCTCAACTAGGGTACATAAACATAGCATGACAAAGTGATAATTAGGGTTTTGTAATATACCATTATATTTAAAATTCTCCCATTAAAGTGACACATGTCATGTTCGTAACTTGATATCATTAACGCGAAACTAATTTTTGAAAATTATTATGCTCATGCATTTCATAATTCCAACTAGCCTGGACTTTGAGAAGTTAATAGTCATGTAGAGATGACCAAATTTTAGCTCCATGAAAATTTTTTCCATCACATGAAAGTACTGAAAATCAAATATTATTAAAGCATAAAATAGTCTCTTTTCTGCAGTCTGTTTTTACTGAACTCTACTTTTTTGCTTGTATAATATTTTCAGAGTCCAAAACTTACAGCTGTTTTTGTGAATTCATGAAGAGAATGTCACATAATTTCCCCCATGGAGGTGCCATGGACACACACTTTGCCAATATGAGGTCTTTAATCCAGGTAGGAATATTGTTTAAGTGTATTTTCATTTGAAAATTGTTTAAAGATGGCGTGAGTAGTACATCATGTGGTCACATTTGTTTCTGATTACTGCAGACTCCCTGTAATCTGTCCAAGGGCTTATTTAATACCTGGGGCTAAAGTTGTGTATCGAACGAAACAACATGACATCTGGGGCTTTATATGATTATTTAAAATGATTGTATATGATTGCTTTTGGCTCACAGATGTGTGTATTTTGATGCTTCTTTGACATATTGTTTTTGAAACCGCCTAAACTACAAAAGGTTACAGGTTTCAAGGACATTAAAGTTATTTATCTGAAATACACAAAAGTTTTGTATAAAAAAAAGTCTGAATAGGTTTAATAAAACCGTGAATTATATATAATTTTAATCTATTTTATTTTAAAGGTGCAAAATCCCTTTCAATCAAATGTAAAACAAATGTTGACTTTTCCGTCAACTGCTACAAATGGTAATTAACACCATGCATTTCTGCTTGTAGATCCTTGACTCTGAACTTTTTGAGCACATGCACCAGAATGGAGACTACACTCACTTTTACTTCTGCTATAGGTGGTTTCTACTTGACTTCAAGAGAGGTATGTAATGAATACATCACAAGTTGGTATTGAATCATCCCTGATTCATTCAGATCCATTCATTTTTCACAAGTGCACAGGATATATACAGGGTGATCCAGAAGTTAGATCAAAGAAATTGTCATTGGGTCACCATACATATAGCAATCATGATTTTGTCCAGTAAAACTTTTGAGGTCTTATGTCTTGAAGTGTTAACTCAGTAAAATTTGAAGAACATATTTGTACCAAAGATTGGTCACAAAGGAGTAGTATTGAAATGGCAACATCCTTGATCTCACTTCTTGATCACCCTGTATGAGATCCTAGAAAATGCAAAAACTAAAATATAGCAAACAATAAAAACATGCAACAGCTGAAACTTTTAACTTGTGTCTGTTTTCAGATAAACATGTATTCAATTCAATTCCATTTATTTATTTCCAGAGCTTATATATGATGATGTCTTCTCAGTTTGGGAAACAATATGGTCTGCCAAGCATGTTGCATCTGCCAACTTTGTGTTGTTCGTTGCCTTGGCGCTAGTGGAGTACTATAGAGACATCATATTGGACAATAACATGGACTTCACTGATATCATCAAATTCTTCAATGGTGAGAATGATATCATCATCTGATTTCTCTCAGTTTATTCCCAGTTAAGCAATCAAAATTCGAATTAGTTGGGCTGTTAACTGTACCCATAAAGAAAGAGGTCAGCACTGTTAGGTATTTAAGAAGTTTGTATTGACCTGAATACCTGACATGTGAATGTTGATGGCATAACAGAAACTGTATTTTCTAGCCAATTACAACATGTTATTGTGTTGTATATGTCATATTGGTAATCTTAAGAAATGGAGATATTCACCTTTTCTACTTTTAATTGAAATTTGGTTCCAAAAACCATACACATTTAGAGGTGTTCAGATTAGAGAGGTGTTCAGATATAATATACAGGTTTCACTGTATCTACAAGAGTTCTGGCTTATTTATGGATCACATTCTACTCTTTTTCACCAAAAGAGGTGACATATTGGTCTCCAACTTTTTTTGGATGGTGTATTCAGTATCTGTAACAAATGCCTTGTATTAAATCGATCTTTATTCACCATACATTTGTATATTTACAGAAATGGCTGAGAAACATAATGCCAAGCAAGTGCTAAAGATCTCCAGAGACTTGGTGTATAAACTGCAGAAGCTGATTGACAACAAGTAGGAGTATATGATCAACATATTCATATACAGCTGTGCGATATATGAATAACACAGCTAGGGATTAATACAGCTGATGTCGAATACAACTGTACCAAAGGTGTTCAATACATCATGTGCCAGAAGTGTTTTAACAGTTGGTGATTAAGAAAGCTATATCACTGGTGATTAATACAGCTTTTGTATAATACAGGTTCAAATCTGGTTTTAAATACATGTGTTGTCAACTTTTCATATCATACGAATAGCATATGAAAGATGATTCTACAAATAATGATTGATGTGTATAATACAACTGGCACATATGTATGATACAGCTGGCACACATGTATAATACAGCTGGCACACATGTATAATACAGCTGGCATACATGTATAATACAGCTGGCATACATGTATAATACAACTGGCACATATGTATGATACAGCTGGCACACATGTATAATACAGCTGGCATACATGTATAATACAGCTGGCATACATGTATAATACAGCTGGCATACATGTATAATACAGCTGGCACACCTGTATAATACAGCTGGCACACATGTATAATACAGCTGGCATACATGTATAATACAGCTGGCACACATGTATAATACAGCTGGCATACATGTATAATACAGCTGGCATACATGTATAATACAACTGGCACATATGTATGATACAGCTGGCACACATGTATAATACAGCTGGCATACATGTATAATACAGCTGGCATACATGTATAATACAGCTGGCATACATGTATAATACAGCTGGCACACCTGTATAATACAGCTGGCACACATGTATAATACAGCTGGCATACATGTATAATACAGCTGGAACACATGTATAATACAGCTGAAACACATGTCGATTACAGCCAACTCACATTAAAATGTGCCACCCAATTAAGTGTAAGCGTAGAGCTGATATCTCTGTACAATGTAACATAATATACATGAACAATATTACATAAACAGTAGGCCTATACATGTATTATATATAAGTCTGATATACAGATATAGTTCCAGTTGAATACTTTGATTGAAATCTCATCAGACACGACAATCTCCACCACTTAAAATGATTCTAGATGGATATGTCACTATGTATTAAAAATGGAATTGTCTTCAGATTAAGTTTAACGTCATTGGTATTTAATTGAGTATAATTGATTTCCACAGCTAAAGTGTTCACACACTGTGATAATTATGTGAATAATGAGTAATGCGTTACTGTAGCTTGCATATAACATATAATTTTAGCTTTCAGTGAATCAGGAATTATGATGAATTAAATAAAACAAGAAATTTTACCACTGCCAAATATATCTAATTCTAGCCAAGTGTTGACTTGGTTTGCGTATAAACGACAACAAAGGGCATCATACTTAAATGCAGTTTAATATAATTTACATGAGTGCAATACATGCATGGGACAAGTAGTGCTATTTTATATGTATTGTAATTAGTGGACTTGATATCATTGTATTATAATGAGGAAGGGGGCATCTAAAAAATGTTGTTATAGCACTAGGTCTTAATGAAAAACACAGAAGCAACTGATTTTTATTTGCTTTTGTAGGCAGTCCCACATATTTTCACATATATATAATATAATCGCATATTGATGGGTAGAATTATTGTATGAATAAATTGAATTGAGTTGATTATATTCAATGAGGCCACTTTTTATCAAAATATAGTTTTTGTTGGCTTTCAATACATGTTCATACATCTGAGTCAAATTCTATTTTCTCAAAATCTTATACCACTAATGTTTAATAAAAAAGATATGAGAATGCTTATTGTTAAATATGCTTAAACGCTATAATTTATATAAATGCTTACAACCGTTTATTTTCGTAGCTTCAACATTATATATAGGTTTGATGTGTTCTTGTGTTGAAAATCCTATTTTGCCAGGTGACTAAGAAACACCTTAAGTACTAATTACAGGTACCTTCTGAACATGTCAATACTAACATTTATGCTTTGGAATATTTGTGTAAATTGTGTTTAAGACAGTGAACTTTTGTACAAAGTACATTGAGAAGTTAAAACAAGTAAGGCAACTGGGGAAAGCAATTCAGAAAACTTCATTGTTTTTCGAGCAAAGACACTTTCAAATTACTCAGATGCGAGTAGGTAGTTACCAGTTTCGCCACCAGGTGGCTGATTCGGGGGAAATAACATGGCAGGGTATTACAAAATTCCCTTAAACTTGAATATGCATCAGTTTTAGTGGTTCACTTTTCAAATTACCCTTATGTATGTGATAGTTATACAAATTAAAATATGTCCAGTAAAAGAAAATATTATCTGCCCAACACAAGAAAATATATTTCACTTTTTGTGGTTTTACAACATGGGCTCTTTGGGGAATCTCCCCGACCTAGAAGTCACATTTTTAAAGAAAATAAAATTTTCAAAATTGATAAACTCTTTTCAAAACCACATTTCTAAATGTAGATTTACATGAAGATTCCAAATATGACTTCAGTTAGACTGAATTGTGAATTTTTAATGACGTAAATCAAGATTATTTCTACTCGCATCTGGGATATTAAGGAAGAAACTTTGTAAAAATAATGCAATTTATACATTTCTTAGACCAATTTCAATAGTGTTAAAAAACTAAAGAATTAGGAATATTTATGACTCCAGATAAGGGTTCTTGTCAGGAATTTTCCAACTGGCTGCAAATATTCAACTTAGTGCAGTGCAATTTCACATTCTCAGCCATGTTGCTAGGTTTATAAGCTAGGGGTGGGGGTCACGTTATGTAATTTAGTTATGTTACAGTGTTAATATGTTAACAATGTCTAAGTAGTTAGATATTCTATAGTTTATAAATATAAGTTGTATTAATTAGAAAATTGCAGTGCATTTACTATTAGGTGCTTCTGTGTTGAGCTAGAATATTATATCAGGTGCAATATGTACAATATAAACAATATATGAATACAATAATCTATTGTAAAAAATCCTTTAGGATGTTAGATACAACAGTAGTCTCTTTGGTTTATATTAAAACCTAATGTTAGTCACACATACACGTAATGGCCATTAGCACAGTAGAACCTGTATGTAGTGAATACCTATGGAGGCACAAAAAGTGTTCACTGTAGGGAGGTGTACACTAAAGAGAGGGATATTATACAAGAGTCAGTAAAATGTGTCTTTAAGTGGTGTTCACTAAACACAGGTGTTCAATAGGGAGAGAGGTGTTCACTAAGACAGGTTTTACTGTAATTCGCTGTACTTTTATTATGGAGATAACATCTCCCTCATGCCAAGCTTTTGTAATTAAATTAATCAATGTTTGTTATTATTTTGAGGCAATAAAATTTTCTTCAAGGCCTATCCTTGTATAATTAATAATAATGTACAGTGTAACACATTTATTATACGAAAAGTCATATATTGGGTTAAGTATTCATTGAATGTGGGTCCTTGCCCATTTCAAATAGAAAGGAATGAACAGGCTCTATTTTTTCATCAAGATTAAATACTGTAATGAGGGTTTTATCCTCTTTCAATATCATATTGACCTTTGAATAAGACCCATATCCACTCCCCAAAACAACCAATAAATATTGACTGGTCAGTAGGATGTAAATATTGTCATTATAGTAATTCATTGATATTTGATAAAAACAGTGCGAAAATACTCTTATTTTTACCAAAATCTTTACACAGATCTTTCTTCTATTATTATACATAGTTCAAACTTATTATATAGAACAACATAGTTTATAAAACAAATTCATTTTTACATGCAGCCTATGATCAAATGTATATTTTATCTAGAATTAAACGTCCATTGTTTTGTTTGTATCCTTTTGTGAACGTGTGTATAGCTCATGGGATCTAACAGATAAAAGGTAGGCCTATTGGACAAGGCAATATACAGTAGGTATATATAACTACCTTTGGACTTCATTACCAAAGTTTTAGTAAGGCAGTTGTCTTTTATCCATCCCATGCCTGGGTAGGCCTTTGATGTAAGCAATGTAGTCTGTATATACATGTACATTAAGATGTTCAAGCTGCTTTTGTATATTTTTATTTTTAAAGTGGCAACATTTCTCAGATGGATCAAGAGTTCAATATTATTAAATCATATCTCTTTAAATGTGAAGATATTCAGTCCTTATATGGGAAGTACATTCCTTATATGAGGTGTTATCATTATAATGATAATCATTCCTTATATAGGATATCCATTCCGTGTAGGGAACATTCATTACGTATAAGAAATTAATTCTTGAAGGGGATATTCATTCTTTATAAGGAATATTCATCCCTTATATCGGATATTCTTTCCTCCGGGGGACATTCATTCCTGATGGAGAATTTTCATTCCTTATATGGGATATTTATTCCTTGTCCATTCTTTATGAAATGTGTACTCCTTATATGGGAAATGCATTCCTTATATGGTACATTTATGCTAGCTTTAGCCCTTATACGTATAGTTTCATATATAATGTAAAATTGGATGTTACGTATAAGTACAAGGATTGACCAAAAACATTTGCACCATTATTTGCTCTCAATTTGAATACAATTGTCTGGTGTAAAGATGCATTGTATTTTCCATTAATTTCCTCGGGTATGCTCCCATTTCAGATACCAATGAAAAATCTGAGAGCAAATAATTCACTACTTTTTGGGCAACCCTCGTATTTAACTTTTACATGTATTATATTATAGTTGTCTGGTGCTTTTATTTATTCCCGATACTCCCCAAAGTCCAGTTTATGAGGGATGTCTCATAACTGGTGTTATACCTTCTTAGATATTGAAAATATCTTCATTAAACAAACATGAAGTGTCTGATTTTTCATAATTAGCTTAACTAAGGAAGGCCATACTGGGTGTCTTTTAGGGTGTCTCCACATTATGTCAATATTCAAATCCTTTAAAGGGTGACGCATATCGTTTAGCAAATCAAATGCTCGTTTCTGGTGTTGCTCACCATTTAGTATAAAAAGGCCCAATCCCGGAATAATACTCAAGGGTTAACAGGCTCAAGGTTGTTGTGTCAACACCTCTAACTGTTATATAGCATTAGTATATTATAGATCGTCACACATTTATAAAAGGGACATAAAAGGATTTATTTTGACAAATCAATTTCACATTTATGGGTGAAGTTTCAGGATCTTATATTTGTGTATAAGGAAAATTTCACCATGACATATTAGTACACAGCTTTGCATATGAAATATCCTCCAAATCACACAAAGCAGTTCTAATACAAGGAATTATATTGGCTGTTGTACATGCATTCTTTGAACAATCACTCTTCCTCAATAATGTTTTCAGAATCATTATAAACAGATTACTTTATCTCTTAGACAATTTCAATAAACTGGATTTTAACTCCCCTTATTTCTTAAAAATGGACTGATCCAGACTCGCCTTGACCAACCATATTGTTATCCGACTGAACGAAGTTCGAGGGGGATATAGAGAAGCCGTCCATTCCTACATTCGTCCGTGTGTCCGGGCAATAACTCCAATACCGGTTGACGGATTTGGTTCAAATTTTATAGGCTTATGCCTTATGAGTGTAGGACCTCTTCTCGAGAAGGAATTTTCAATATGGCCACTCAATTCAAAATGGCTGCCATTTTTCGTAAAAAATGTTATCGTTGATAATTCAAATACAAGTTGACGGATTTGGTTCAAATTTTATATGCTGATGCCTAGGGACACAGTTTCTATGTTCGACAAAAAAAGATTTTCAAGATGGCCGCTTAATTTCAAAATGGCGGCCATTTTTCGTAAAAATATGTAATCTTTGATAACTCAAATACCAGTGAATGGATTTGGTTCAAATTTTATATGATGATGCTTAGGGACACAGTTTCTATGTTCGACAAAAATTTTTCAAAATGCCCGCTTAATTTCAAAATGGCGGCAATTTTTCGTAAAAAACGTAATCTTTGATAACTCAAATACCAGTGAACAGATTTGGTTGAAATTTCATATGAGTATGCCTAGGGACACAGTAGCTCTGTTCAGGAAATAATTTTCAAGATGGCGGCTGAATAACTCATATACCAGTGAACGGATTTGGTTTAAATTTTATATGA